ACCTGCCTTTGCCTCCTGAGTGCTGGGATTAAAGGCGTGTGCCACCAACACCGGCTGGAATATTTCTTTAAATGTTTCTCAGCCATTTGAGTTTACTATATTGAAAATTTTCTGTTTAGATCTGTACTTCATTTTTATTTGGGTTATTTTTTCTTGATATCTAATTTCATGAATTCTTTATATATTTTGGAAATTAGCCCTCTCTCAGATGCGTAGTTGGCAAAAATCTTTCCAGTCTTGGTGTTATCTGAAGTTCTAGCTGGAGTAGTCTACGAGGCTGGACCATCTTAACTAACTTCTTTGAAGCTGTTCTGAGTAGTTTGCAGTTCAAAGCTGATCTTTGGGTGGTAGTGTTTGTCAGCTTAGTGGCATTACCACAATCCAGGCAGATTCATTGTTATGGGGCCCCAATATCCTTTTGGAGACTTCAAAGGTCACTGTTAGGAATGATCAGGATTCATTGCCAGAAACTTAAACGTTTTAAGTGTCATATGCAGCAGATCTTAAAGAGGTTAAAGGATCAATATTTGTTATATACATCCAGAGCACAAAAACTTAATTTTTAGCTACCTGTGAGAGACTCATACCTGAAATCATGTACAGGAAGCTAGATGAAATCCTTAGTACACTATACGACCATTAATATCATGACAAAAGGTTTAAATATGTATGTATTAATCATAAATTTTGAGATAATATTTATACCTTAAGAAAAGTTTTAAAGAGTCAAAATAAAACCAAAGGATTATGAGATTATGAGATTAGTGGCCACAGAATAGTCTCTAACTTTGGTTTTTCTTCTGTCCCATACCAGGTGGCTCTTCTGACATGAGACAGAGATTTCAGTTTTTCCTTTAACAAGCATACTTGGGTTTAGAGAAGGTGAGAGCCACAATCCAATTCCAAAGCCAGCTTTAATTTTTAATTGAATTGGGAATACAAAAAGACCATTTGTCTTATGTGTCTGTAGACACAGTAGAGAAAAATACTTGGGAAGATTTATGAAATTTTATCCTATTGGAAGTGTGCTATACATTTAGGCCAATTTGTTCTTTTTCTTGGGGCATTTTCTCTGGATGATTCACTCTTCTTCTTCGTATGTCCCATGCGTCCAGTGGTCTTCAGATTCTCTCTCTCTCTCTTTTTTTTTTTTTGGATACTTTTATTTTTCCTGGAAAACCAAAACAAAACTCTGCCCCAACCTTAACTTTGTGGAGTTTCTCTTTTTGGCAGGTTGAAAGGCCTTGCTATTTGATGAATATCACCTCTCCTAACCAAGAGGTCTCTCCTGTTTGAATCTAATCTTTATCAATCTTGATAGTATCCATAATTTTTCTCCTCCTGTGGAAACAAAAGCCAAACCTCTTCCCTAACATAACACATATCTTGGTTTCCATTCTGAGGTCAACACATCTTTAAAGTATCCAGGCTGATTTAATTCAGCAGTTTTTCCATTATCCAATGTACTCTCCCTGGCTGTTTCCTGTCTCATTGGCATTTAAAAAATTTAAAGTTAATAAAACATAGAGAGATGGCTCAGCATATCTAGTCATTTCTAAGTATCACTTATGTCTTGGAATTCTCACTGGTGTTTTCTAAATATTTTATTGTTGTCTGCATTGGATTGTTCTTCTTCAAGTTTGGATGGTTTATCTTCTCTCTGATCCATTCTATTGGTGAGATTTCCTACAGAGTGAGACCCTGCCAAAAAATTAAAAGCACAATTCAGCAACTGTGATTTTGAAAACCCAACCATGTTTTTTTTAAAAAATCAGAAAGCATTTATACTGTTTCCCTAAGTGTTTCTCTTTTTAAAATTTCATTCAAATCCAGCACAGTAGAAACCAATAATGACATCCTGGCTTCGAGAACAGGAGATAGAAACTGGCTAAGCAGTTTAGGGTAGAGGACCCCAAAAGTGAAAAACCCCCCAACCTCCTGAATAAACACCAAAAATGTCCTTGTCCCCTTGGACAACGCCATCCTTAGAGGCCAAAGATGCTGAAGGTGTTTAAGCCAAAGTGTTTTTAGCTCTACCTGAGAGGCTACAGATGCATGAAAAGGCGTGGGGTCTGATTTCTTGCTCTTCTCCCTAAATGAATCCTCTTTCCTGGAAACCACATGTAAGAATATGACTAAAACTGAGAGGTACCCAGACTCCTTGTAATTGGGAACTACAGTTCATACTCCCTCTGAATATCATCAAGTAAAGTCTTACTAACTCTAAACCAGTGGCCCTCAGTGGTACCCCACTCCCAGGGACCTGCTCCTGTGGTATAGGGCTCTCTCTCTCTCTCTCTCTCTCTCTCTCTCTCTCAAATTCCCTTGTAGGAATCTATAATAGATTTCTTTCTAAAATTCAGCCTCTGGGATCCATGAATTTCATTCTTCAAATTTGTGGAGTGAGACCCTAAAAACCACTGGCTCATTATATGAGCACCCAGCACCCCAACTCCTGGGCTTAGTTCATCAAGAGCCAAGAAATGGTCTGTCACTCTCAAGGACACCCCCAAAATTTCCTGTATCACTGGGATAACCTTTAACGAATTTACTGATTTTTTCATATCCAGTATTTTTCTTTTCCAAAGAGTCTCTCTGTCTCTATCCCTGTCCTTGTTCTTATTTCTCTTTGTATCTGTCTGTCTGTCTCTGTTTCTCTGTCTCTGTCTTGTCTGTCCATCTGTCTCTCTCTCTCTCTCTCTCTCTCTCTCTCTCTCTCTCTCTCATTCATACACATACAAACACAAACATATACACATACATGCATGCATGCGTACACATATACACATACATGCATGCATGCGTACACATATACACATATATACACATAAACATGTGCATATACATACATGCATACACATACAAACACAAACATATACACATACATGCATGCATGCGTACACATATACACATATATACACATAAACATGTGCATATACATACATGCATACACATACAAACACAAACATATACACATACATGCATGCATGCGTACACATATACACATATATACACATAAACATGTGCATATACATACATGCATACACACGTCATACATGAACATATACATACACACATATATACACATACACACAAACATACACATACATGCATGGATACATACACACATATGCACAAGCACACATACTGTCTCACACACACACATGCATATACACACATACATACTCACATACACACATGAACACACAAATACATACATATACTCTCACACACACATACACACATGCACATATTCTCTCTCACACCATACACACACACATACTTAAACACACACACACACACACACACACACACACACACTCTCCCTAGGCTAGTGTGTGCTCATTGCTCTTCAGGAAAAGTAAGAACGCTCTGGCCCAGCGCACAGCTGCTGACCACACTGCTTCAGTCATCTGTGACTCTCGAACAGAGCCCCACAGACTGGGAGTTGCCAATGAGCTGAATGTATTGGCTCACAGTTCAGAAGGCTGAGAAGTGCAACATCCAGGGGCTGGCATCTGCCAGTGGCCTCTTGCTGAGGCATCCCAAAGCAGACAGTTCTAGTCTGGAAACCAGAACAACTGCAGACATGGAGAGTGTCAGACTCCTTCCTGTAACCAACTGACAAATTCCCTCCTAGCCTAATTATCTCTTAAAAGTCTATTTCAACAATGTCACAATGCTTGCATTTCAACATGAGGTTTGTGTGTTTATCGTTGGATCCCCTGTGTCTGTCTGGCTTGAAGCTCCTGTTTTCAGGCAACCTTTCCACCTTAGCTTCCTGAGTAGCTTTGTGTACAGGCATGTTTGTTAGGGCTTCTGTGTGAGTGAGGGGCTCATTCAAAACACAACAACCAACCTTTCCCTTTAATACCAAAGATTTCCTAACCTAAAATAGGGTGAGGACAAAGAGGAAGTGTGGGTGTAGTCAAGGCAGCCAACCCTTCCAATGACTTCCCTTGAGCAGGAGAGAGCAGGTTATGGGCCATATAACTTAGCATGCTGGGAGATGTATCCGCAGCTGAAGGTGCCAGAAGGCAAGGACTGATACCTATAGCAGCACTTGCCAGAGGCAAAGCAGCAGAGCCCTGGTTGAGCCTCTTTTTACTGAGATTTGTTCCCAGAATTCCAAGGAAACCAGCTTGAAATAGGAGTTGAACTGCGAAACTTCTCCAATGTGTGCTTGACATGTCCCTGAACCACACTGCCTGTCCTCCCACCAGAGCTCATCTGAAGGTCCCAGGCAGCCAAGGAAAGCAGTGTGTGTGTGTGTGTGTGTGTGTGTGTGTGTGTCTGCGAGAGAGAGAGAGAGAGAGAGAGAGAGAGAGAGAGAGAGCACACGCGCACACACACCTGAAGAAGTAGTTCGGAGCCCTTCAGACTTACCCTGTTTTGATCTGAAATCTCCTTTCTATTATTGCTCAAACCAAGCAACATTGACCCTTTGCAGTCACTGTCACAGGCACAATGGTTCTCTGATCATCTCATTTGATAGCTTGGCTATAACACGATAAATAAAAGACCCAGAGACTGATATTAAGGTTCAAGCTTCAAGCTGAAGTTCAGAAAAGCAAAGCAGATGGCCACTAGCTCTCACCTCTAGCTCAGGCTGAAAGGGCTGATCCACCAGCTCTTCACCAAACCTCAAACTGCTGCCTCTCCTCAGTATGACTGGAGAATGACTATGTCTTCCTATCCTTAATGTGGCTGGAGAATGAATGCTCCTGTCCTCAATGTGAAAGCCTCCTCCTGACTACTGAAGACTCTACTTCTACCTTTTATACCATTCTAGTGCTGGGATTAAAGGCGTGTGATCTGTTACTCTTTTAGACTGATTGAATTTTGTGTATCCCTGGGTAGCCTTGAACTCAGAGAGATTTGTCTACCTCTTAATCCTGAGTCCTAGGATTAACGATGTGTACCACCACCTCCTGGCTTCTGGCTGCTGGGGTTAAAGGTGTGTGCCTGGCTTTTCTATGCCTTGTGGCTGACTTTCTGAATCTTCAGGTGAGCTTTAATAACTCATAAATAATATATCACTACACTTGGCCTACATACTACACTTGAAGCCATCGCCCTTGCCTCCTCCCTGGACAGAGGTGGTGTCCCATATATGACCATGGCTGATCAGAACATGAAAAACACCTTGTCTTTGGGGTCAGCATGTGGCTTTTTGCTTATAAGTACTAGTAACTGCCTTTCCATGAACCTACATATTCACACACACAAAAGCAGCTGCCATGTGCCATCTCAGAAGGCAAAAGTGTGTAACACGAAAAATAGAAGACCCTAAGACTGATGGTGGGGTTCAAGCTTCAAGCTGAAGATCAGGAAAGCAAAGCAGCTGGCCACTGGCTCTCACCTCTACCTCAGATGAAATGGGGCAATCTTCAAACTGCTCCTAACTTCACTGCTCCTCAGATTCACTCAGACTGCTATCCTCGGGGTAGCTAGAGACTCATCCTGAGACTAATTCTCAGACTGAATACCTCTACCTTTTATACCTCTCAAATCCTGGGACTAAAGGCATGAGCTCTGATTCACTCTCCGGTAGCCCTGGGTGGTCCTGGACTCAGAGATCCATCTGCCTTTCTCCTGAGTCCTGGGATTAATGGTGAGTAACATCACTGCCTGAGCTCTATAGCTTGAGGCTGGCTTTGTTTTCTGAATCCTCAAGCAAATTTTAATAAATCATAAATAATGTATCAACACAAAAGTGTATATATTAAAAGCCTTTTTTAATGGCTGGGCAGTGATGATGCAGGCCTTTAATCTCAGCACTTGGGAGGCAGAGGCACTCAGATCTTTTTGAGTTTGAGACCAGTGTGGTCTACATAGTGAGTTCTAGGCCAGTCAGGGCTACAAAGCCAGACTGTCTCTCTCACAGAAAACTGTGGACCAAAGGTGTTTGAACTGCTCATGTTAAAGATATCTACTATGAGCCAGGCATTGGTGGCACACGCCTTTAATCACATCACTCGGGAGGCAGAGGCAGGCGGTTCTCTGTGAGTTCGAGGCCAGCCTGGTCTCCAGAGCGAGTGCCAGGATAGGCTCCAAAGCTACAAGAGAAACCCTGTCTCGAAAAACAAAACAAAACAAAACAAACAAACAAAAAAAGATATCTACTATGATGTTACTATAATAATATGATCAGTTAGTAAATAGTGACTGTTGATTAAACAAAAGAAATAGTTTCTTTTTCCTCTTCTGGGGACGGTGCTAAGAGGCACTCCGAATGGTCCAGCATTTGACAAACTCTCGTAGGCTTTCCTACAATATAGCCTCTAACAAAACCTGGCTGTCTCGAACCCCGGGTAATAGGATTGTTTACCTTTACACCAAGAAGGCTGGGAAAGCACCTAAATCCACATGTGGTGTGCACCCAGGCAGGCAGACTTCCACTGTTCATGTCATAAAACCCAAAGTCCCTATGAAATGGTCTAAAACAAAGAGGCAGTCATCAGGGCCTACTGTGACCCCATGAGTACTATGGGTACCTGTTACAGGATAGGGTATGCCTCCTTACTGAGGGGCAGAAAATCGTTGTGAAAGTGTTGAAGGCACAAACACGCAATCAGAAAGACATCTAAGAAATCTTTGCTAGGATCTTTAAAATTCTGATATCCAGACCCATGTACAAAGGAGGTGTGTTTTCCCAACATGTGCCTAAGGTCATGCTTAAGTTTTCTTCAATCTGAATGCTTGTTGAGAGGCAACTTGAATGACTGCAAATATAGCTATATAGCCTGGCCCAATGCCTGATGGATAATAGTTGCACAATAAATTCTATTAGCTCTCTGTACAGAGCGTCAGCCCTGAGCCAGGCCATGCTTTTGGGAAAATTATCATCGTTCTCAAAGTAAGAAATGCTGTAAATCTTTTGAAAAGTTATGGTAAGCTGGGGCAATAAGCACCAAGCATGTGGCACTCCATTTCTATCTTTCCTGACTCGTGGCAGGCATTGCTAGCTGATCATGGGCCTTTGAACCTGACTTTAGCTGTAGAATCTTTTCAGTAAAAGCTGTAACTGTTTGCTACCTCCAGGGAAAAGAGGCCAGTGTGGAGAAATGCTTTCTTATTTTGTTTCAAGGTAAGGTTGCATAGTTTTCAGGTGTCATTCAATTCCTCTGAACCTGTGTTAACCCATGGCTGAAGCAGACTGTCATCTCGCAGAACCTTCCCACACAGCTGGTGAAGGGACCAGCTCCCCATCATTCCTCAATCTAAGGGCCTTTCACTAGGAATGAGGAAGTGATTGGAAGATGTGAGCGCCCCGTCATTCACCAAAAAACCAAAGGCCCACCTCTGCCTGTAGGAGAGTTCCACCAAGGCATATTCAAGACAGAGAGGATCTGGGCTGAGTGTGGGGTTTTTGTTTGTTTGGTTTGGTTATTTGTTTGTTTGTTTGTTTTTTAACAGAGTCTGGCTGGTGGACCATGCTGGCCTCACACTCACTCTTGTCATCTTGCCTCTACCTCCAGGTAGGACCTGGTCTCAGAAGGGCTTTTCTTGAGCCAGTGAGATGGCCCAACAGGTGAAAACCTGAGGAGCTGGAGTTCAGTCCCCAGAACTCCATGGTAGAATGCCAGCCAGGGCTATGAAGTGCAACCCTCACCCCCATTACATTAAAATAAATAAAAAAGTGAATGCAGTAACATTTTCAAAAAGGTTTTCTTCTTACAGATAAGGAAGAGGAAAAGAGAAGAGAAAGCAGTGAGAGAGAAGGAGAAGACAGCCTGGAGGCAGAGGCACCAGGTAAGGCTACACTCCAGTTAGGCCTCTTGCTCAACATGGAGTTTGCAGTGGGTGACTGGGCTTCTGTAGGCCCCACAGTTTCATTCACTCACCTAAAGGACAGTCAGTACCCACCCGTCAGGGTTGTTGGAATTATAAAATGAGTTCATGGTTATGAGAAGGACCAGTGCGAACTGGGTACGCAGGGAGGATGTAGCAAACTCAGGAACATGACCTACACCCCCACCCCCGCCCCGGAAGCCCAGCCTCCACAGTAGGAACGGAATTTCTCATCTATCTATCTATCTATCTATCTATCTATCTATCTATCTATCTTTCCAGCTTCTACTGAACATCCTCACTTTGTGCTGAGCAGGAGAGGGTGTGTGTTGATACTGAACACGTCTTTGACCTTAGGACTGTTAGACCCCCGGAAAACTCAGGCCTCCAGGGTCTCAGCCCAGGACTATGGTCACCCCAATCACCAGGCAGATTTGAAAGCTTGATGAAACAGCATGAGGCTTTATTGTTGTTTAAGGAGCTAACCCCATGTTAGCTCGGGTCTTTCACCCACCCACCATGGCAGATGGCTAGCAAAGACAGCTCAACGCAGCTGCATAGAGATCTTGTAGGGCAGCGTAAGGGGAGTGTCTAGGGGTATGCACAGGCTCAGGATTGGTGTGCCTCCAGGCTTGGAGGGCTTGCCCTATGTTGATTGGCCAACTGGTTGTTATGGCCCATGGGCCCTCCCAGGGAGGTTGCTATGCTCTCTACGTCATTGCTGTGCACTTGTCCATAAAGCACGCCCAGGGCCCCAAAGCACAGCACCACCAGCTAACTTCTGATTGGTTCCTTGCCACGAGGCAGGCATCTGACTTTTTAGTGACTAGGACAAGGTCATGGCAAGCACGCTGCTACTGTCATGGCTGCCGAAATGGGGAGCTGATCCCTTCAGGACCATCAGGAGGGCAACATGGCCATTTTGCACAATGTGAATGGAGCCCCTTCACAGCATCCCTGCCCCTCCCCACAGTTTTACCCCATTCAGTTTTCAAGGATACCTTTCCTGATACAACTCGGACACATGCCCCAGAAGAGCCTCCCTGGCATACAGTGGGTGTGGGCACTGAGAGAAGTTTCCGGCACTGTGTAGTCTCCACTGAGGCTGGGGAGGGATGAGAGGAGCCCCAGCATTTGTAGGAAGTAGCCCGGAAGCCAATGGTTCTAGAATATCCCTACTAGTTCTTCTCCGCAAATCCTGAGAGCCCTTGTTAGTGCCAGCTCCACATAATCCCACCCTACAGTGAACCCCGAGGGTGCTCACCCTGTCCCAGATTGGAGCCTGAAATGTAATCACCCTTATGCATTGGCTTCGTCCCTCACCATCCCTGCTTGCCCCAAACTGGGCTCCCAGCACTGGCTCAGAACCCTTCATTCCACAATCTTCTGCCTCTAGGACATTTCTCACTGACCTTAGCTCACTTACCAGAGACCTACAAAACTGCATTTACTTTCGGAACAATGGCCCAGTATTGAGCAATTCAGTGCCTGCAACGACTTTGTAACTTCTTTGAGGAGTGAGAATTAACTGCATTTAATTCCCCATCAGGCTCCTAGCAGGTGCACAAATCCCAGGATTTATATGGAGGCAGCCCAACACACAACTGAAAACTTACTCCAAATATGGTGAGGTGTTTTTTACTTTACAATTTTTAAAAAAACATTTATTTAGAAAGGGAAGGCATGTAAGTGACCTGGTACACAAGGGAGGGCAACTTGTACAAGTCAGTTCTCTCCTTCCTACTAGTGGGGTCTGGAGATAGAACTAAGGTTATCAGACTGGGTATTTCTTTATCCACGAAGCCATCGATCTAGCCAGCCCCTATGGGACTTTAAAAAAAAAAAAAAGCCAAATTTCACAGTTCTTTAGTGTCAACTACAAAGATGACAACATTATGTCACAATGTCAAATCTGCCTCATATGTCTCATATGTCCCATCTGCCATTTGGTGGAGTGCTCTAATGAGAGATGCTCTCCTCCATGACCACCCCTTGCTGCCCATGGTGGATGGGACCGCTGGTCCTGAGGTCATGAGGGTGGGAGAGCTGGCCTTGCTCCTTCCTCACCAGTGCAGCACTCCAGAGAATGGGCTCTGCAGCTCACCTGGACAATACAGTAGAGCTGACCTTGTTTGGGGGTACAGGTGAGCCTGCCTATAGGGTTGACCCCCCACAGTGGCATGGGTAAGGGAAAGATGCCCCCAACCATGCCCCTTTCCACCTGCAGCAGGCTGGAGAGCTGGTCTAGGTGGCACAAGAGTGGGAAAGCTGGCCCTATACTGTTGGGGCCCAAATATCGAGTATGGTATTTCTTTTTTTTGGGGGGGGGGTCGAGATAGAGTTTCACTGTGGCTTTGGAGGCTGTTCTGGAACTAGCTCTTGTAGACCAGGCTGGTCTTGAACTCACAGAGATCTTCCTGCCTCTGCCTCCCGAGTGCTGGGACTAAAAGTGTGGGCAACCACCGCCCAGCTCAATATGATATTTCGGATGCAAGCCTCAGCTTGATTCCAGGAGCTCAATCTCCCATTGTCTTTCAGAAGCCAGCTGATTACCTCCAGATGCCTGGCCTTGGTGGGGAATAGTTCCCAGTTTGTGTAACAATAGACCCAGGCCCCTGGTTGGATGCACACCTGTCCCGCACGATAGTCTCGCCGGCAAGAACCACACAGGACATTCGGATCCTTCTGCAGTAAAGCTTTAATGCGTCTTGAGAGGAGAGCATAAGCTTACCAGAGCGGAGACCCCGAGCCAAGAATCCCATCCCCTAATAAAGGCTGGCAGCCGCCGCCTGGGACGTGTCACCCTATGATTGGCTGCAGCTCATCAGGCCATATGACGCCACAGAATAGGCAGAGATCAAGGAATGGAAAATTACCCAGCGCCTGCGCAATAATCTTGTTTACATTCAGTGCCTGCCAGATGCAGGCGCCATCATTGTAATGGAGAATGCAGGGACGGCTCCCTACACACACCCATTGTGGGGGCTAGGGGAACATGCCTGGAAACTAGTAAGGGACTAGCAAGACGAAGTGCCCTTGTAGAAAGTCTGGAGGCTTATGTACATGCATTCTGGGACTATCTCTAGGATTAATGGAAATATTTGATATCAGTTCTATTCAGATGTCTTCTACCATTACCCCTACTTTTGGAAGGATGCTTGATACTTTTTAAGAGGATATTCGAATAAACCTTGGACTCCAGCATGGACTGAGAACCCTCCTGAAATGACAATATGTCTCTGTCTCCTCCTTAACACCGCTGGGTAGCTAGGAGTTTCCAAAACTGCAGGATCTCCATGACACAAGGCAACAACAGGGTATCCAAGAGGAGTCCCAGTGAGGGCCCAGGATGGAGGGTGGAGTCGAAGCCAGAGATCCATGGCAATGAACACTTACAAGTAAAGATGTGTGGACTAAAGGGTAAACTGTATGACTCACTGGGCCACACTACAGCTTCCACAAAGAGACTATTTTCCTTTCTTCCTCCCTTCCTTCCTTCCTTTCTTCCTTCCTTCCTTCCTTCCTTCCTTCCTTCCTTCCTTCCTTCCTTTCTGGTCTGTTAGTCAGTTGTTTCGGGTTTTTTTTTTTTATTATTTAATTTGTTTTGAGGGAAGGCTGCAAGGGCAGGGGGTAGATATGAAGGGATGGGAAGAAGAATGAAATTGAGATGCATGATGTGAAACCCACAAAGAATCAATAAAAAAAAATAGTTGGGCACACCTGAGCTGACATAAGCTTGCCCAGCCTATCCTCCCAAAAGACGCTCTGATTGGCACACCTTCTTGGAGCTATAACTATTGTCCTTGTTTGTCTGTCTGTCCATCTGCCATTTATCAAATGCTGCTGTGCAATCCTGAGCAGGCCTCGTATGTGCTAGGCAGTGCTTTTGTCTATAGCCACGCTCTGTCCGGGTCCCTGTAGGCAGAGGGTCCCTGCTCATGCTTCACCATCATCCCTGCCCACACCTTCGTAAATAGTGCCTTTCGACTCTTTTTAAGGGCACCATCAATTTCCAGCCAGTGAAGGGACCAGCTCCCCATTTCGGCAGCCATAACAGTTGAACACGTACTTACCTGATCTTGTCTTGGTCACTAGGAGGTCAGATACCTGCCCCTTTTGGAAGCCATGACAGTAACACAGGCTTGCCCTGACCTTGCCTTGGTCACTAGGAGGTCAGATGCCTGGCTCATGGCAAGGAACCAATCAGAAGTTAGCTAGTGGTGCTATGCTTTATGGCTCTGGGTGTGCTTTACGGACAAGTGCACAGCAATGACTTGCAGAGCATAGCAACCACCCTGGGAGGGCCTATGAGCCATAACAACCAATTGGCCAATCAACACAGGGCAAGCCCTCCAAGCCTGGAGGCACACCAATCCTGAGCCTGTGCATACCCCTAGACACTCCCCTTATGCTGCCTTATAAGATCTCTATGCAAACGCTTTGCAAGGTCTTTCCCAGCCACCCGCCATGGTGGATGGATGAAAGGCCCGAGCTAACATGGGGTTAGCTCGTCAAACAACTACAATAAAGCCTCGTGCAGTTTGCATCAAGCTTTCGACTCCGCATGGTGATTGGGGTGGCCGAGGTCCTGGGCTGAGATCCTGGGGGCCTGAGTCTCCGGGGGTCTTTCCCCAGAATACCAGCTAATGCTGACCGTGTATGGAAAAGATGGGCCATTTTCTTTCTAGTGTGTACTTAACAGACATAAGCATAGGCTGTCTTTTCCCACCCGTCTCCAGTGACACATTACACACAGAAGCTGTTTGCTCCTCCTCCCACAACAGAGTCACCCCTTGGGGGGCTCATTAGGAGTGCACATTGCTGGGCATCCAACATCTGCTGTCCCTCTGGGGACAAGGCTCTGGGATCGATCTGTTGAAGTAAACCTTCCAGGTGATTCTTAGGTATACTCAAATTTGAAGACAACTTCCTGGAGAACGGGGTATGCAGCAGAAAAAGGGGAGGCACTCAGCAGGTGCTCATGACCTTTGCCAGGGCCCCCTTAACACCTACTGCCTGGCCTTTGTTTCCCTAGGCTGAGTCACAGGGATGCAGGTGAGGTTTGCACTGTGCCTAAGTGTGGCTGCTTCCTAGCTAGGGAGCACAGTACCTGTCAGGACAAGTATGACTTCTGTAGGAACTTGGCAGTGAATTGTGGGACCTCTCTGAGTTCAGGCACAGGGCAAGAATAACATGAAGCATACCACCCAGGGACATGCCACTTTGACACACTGATGATTTTGAGATGGGAGCACTTAAGAAAAAACACTGAGAACACTCTCCACCGTCTTCCCTTCCCCTAAAGCAGGATATAAATGTCCCTCCATCTATGCCCAGATAATCGCCCAAGCCCCAGAGATGAAGGGCTGGTCTTCAGATAAATTTGTATAAACAACCTAAAACAATTCTCTCCCCACGTATTTCTTGCCACAGACCTACAATATACCACCTCCAGAGACCCCAACACCCTTTTCCTTTTGTAGTTTCTTCTCCACAATTGTCCGCCTTTTGTTGAAAATGTTTGTACCACCTTTCACTTTTCGGGGAAGCCCCACATGGATAAAAGCATTAACACTCATAAAGTAGATATCTGCCTTTCCTCCTGTAATATAACTTTTTGTCAGTCTAATTCTGAGTTCTCAGCCACTAAACCAATGGGATGGGGAAAAGAGTTTCCCTATAGTCTGAAAGAGGGAAGAATTTCTGTTTGAATTACAAAACTCCACCTCAGGGTAGTGAACATAATCCCTCTGTGGCTCTTCCAAAGTCCTTCTTGGCTTTCATGTTTCAAAACGCAGATTTGAGATAGCTTAACAAGGCAAACATAATACAAGGTTAAGAAAATAAACAGGGGCTGTTGGGATGACTAAGCAGGTAAAGGTGCTTGCCCCAGCAAGCCTGGGTTCTATCCCTGGAGCCCATGAGGAGGAGGAGAGAACTAACTTGCAGACCTGTTGTCTGACCTCCACACACCTAGTGGCTGCACCCCTACATTTCGAGCACTAAAAATAAAACTATGAGAAACAAATCCCTAAAATTTGCAAGCTACTTATTTAAACACTTTTCTTTGATTAGCTTCTTTCTCATTCCAGTTTTGGAGCGTACGAAACCCTGTTGCTAACCATGCTAGAAACACATCTAAAGGGAAGGCTTAAGAACTTAGTGTCCTTTAATCCCAGCACTCTCCAGGCAGGGGTAGGTGGGTCTCTGTGAGTTGGAGGCCAGCCTGGTCTACAAAGCAAGTTCCAGGACAGCCAGGGCTATTACATAGAGAAACACTGTCTCTAAAAAGAAAAAACAAACAAACAAACCAAACCAAACCAAACCAACCAACAAACAAACAAAAAAACCTTAATGTCTACTAGGTTAGTTTAGAAGTCTGGAGAGAGAGAGAGAGAGAGAGAGAGAGAGAGAGAGAGAATGAGAGAGATTTGGATCCTCTGGAGCTGAAGATACAAGCAGCTCAGAGTGTTCTGACATGGATGCTGGGAACCAAACTCAGGTCTTCTAGGAAAACAGGAAGCTCTCTTAACCACTAAGACATCTCTCCTTTATAATGTTCTTTGTATTTAAAATTAGTATATTTGCCACAGAAATGTAGTTAATGTGAGACTTCTTATAGCTGGGCTTAGACAAAGGTAACAGCCAAAAACACCTATGTGACTTCAAATTTAGTTTTTACTTTGAAATTGGAGTTTTTTCATTTATAAGATTATAAAAATAAATGTTTCTGGGGCTAGGGTTGGAGTCTAGTTGGAAGGGTCATTTCCCACCACGAGGGAAGCCTTATATTTGGTCTTCACTACACATAAAATCCTATGTTGTGGTGCCTACTTATAATCCAAGCAAAAATTCTCAGAATGAATAGAGACAATAAACATAAGGGCTGGGGGTATACCTCAGTGGTAGTACACTTGCCTAGTACTTGTGAGGCCTTGGGTTCATCAGTTTCTAGTAACACACACACACACACACACACACACACACACACACACACACACACACCTACCTACCTTTTCCTCACATAGATCCACACCAAATTTACTTTAAAGAAACAAAAGGTTGAGTGGTGGTGGTGTAAACCTTTAATCCCAGTAGTTGGGAAGCAGAGGCATGCTGATCTCTGAGTTCTAAGCCAGCCTGGTTTACAGAGTGAGTTCCAGGACAGCCAAAACTACACAGAGAAAGAAAAGGAAAATAAAAGAAAGAAAAAAGGAGAAGAAGAAGAAGAAGAAGAAGAAGAAGAAGAAGAAGAAGAAGAAGAAGAAGAAAAGAAGTGAGATGAAGTTACAATATTTGATCTAAACTTAATCACAAAGCAATATTAACAAGTTGCCTAAAGTCACTCATTAACAAATTAGGGGAGGTTTTTATTTCCCAGTTAGTCAGCAACTCTGCCCTGTTGTTAAAGACGTCTCACTTTTTTTTTTTTTTTTAAATTGGGATGGGACTGGCCTCCTGCATGCTAGTAACTGACTCTGTCAACTGCCAGGCCTTGTTCATGGAAGGGGCTTCTTTCAAACAGGTGTGAGATGACTAGCTGAGATCTGGAGCCTTCCTCTTTTATAGATTGTTTATAGGCATGTGCTTTCTCTCAGTCTTCCCTCTCATCCTTGTCCTCATCTTCTTCTAACTTTTGCTTGTTTGAGACGGGGTCTCCTGTCCAATCTGCCCTTGAACTCACTATCCTCCAGCAATGGCCCCCCTAGTGCTGGGATTGCTGTGGTTTCTTTTTCATTCTCTGACTCAGGAGAGAGAAAATGTATGGATATG